AAGAAGAAAAAAGAGCATTGGAAGAAGGACAGTGAAGAAGATGCACTGAAGCTAGTACAGTATACCAGGAAGGCTCACTGACTCCTGGAGAGACCAAACTGGCCTACAAGAAAGATAAAATGAAGAATATAATGGCATGAAAGACAAAACATTACATTGCCAGTACAAAAAATAGCAGGGAAAGTAGATAATAACAAGACCTGGCAATAGCTAAGAGCAGGAAAATTGAAGAAAGAGACTGAAGGATTAATTCTGGCTGCACAAGACCAAACCTTAAAAACAAATACATACAAAACCAGAATTGAGAGGACAGCAACAGATAGCAAGTGCCTCCAATGTAAAGAAGCTGAAGAAACAGTGGACCACCTGGTTAGCTGCTTCAATAAGATCTCCCAGACTGTCTATAAGCAATAGCATGACAAAGTGGCAACAATGGTGCATTGGAAGATCTGCAAAAAATATCATTTGCTTGTAAGCAAGAACTGGGATCATAGAAAATGAAGAAACTAAATCATTCTGGGACTTTAGAATTCAAACAGATAGGCACCACACAGACACACACACACACACACACAGAGAGAGAGAGAGAGAGAGGGAGGGAGAGAATAAACAATTGTCAATAAAAAGACAAAAAAAATATCCGGATAGTGGACATGGCAGTATGCTGGAGACAGCAAAATAGAAGAGAAAGAACTGGAGAAGATAACAAAATACAAATATCTGCAAATAGAAATAGAATGATTGTGGCAAAAGCAAGCGAAGGTAGTACCAATAGTAATAGGTGCCTTCGGTGCAATCCCAAAACAACTGGAGCACCACTTGAACACCATTGGCATTGACAAATTCACCATCAGTCAATTGGAAAAGGCGGCTTTACTTGGAACAGCTTCCATCCTGTGACAATATCTGTAACATCATCAAATTTCCAGATCTGTCTATCCCTGGTTGTTGGAATTGATAAATAGACAAAAATGCCAAATCTTGGCTGAACATCTGGCTGATTGTGCAATAATAATAATAACTCCCTTTCCCTCTTGCTTAACCCTTCTATGCTTGATTGGATTTGGATTTGGATTTATAGTGATTTTATTGTGTTAAAGTGACGTTATTGTTAAATTTGTGGTGAACTTCCTTCTTAAGTGATAGTCATTGAATGTGCAAAATGAGTCTAATTAGTTAACTTTTTGGCTATTAAAGTTTTGATTTAATTTTGCTTGCTGCGGTTGTGCCACATATTAGTCGCATTAATAAGCATGAATATAGCAGGATTCACAGCCACAAAAATGCTTTTAGCATTCACTATTTCTGACTTTGGGGGGGGGGGTATGTTACAAAATGCTATCCTAGCAGTGACAACATTCTGTTCTTAACATTATCTTATATCCATTCTAAAAAAGAATGTGCTTTGTGCTTGTTTAGTTTGTTCCAAGGACAGCATTTTTCATTTAAACCATGGGTGTCCAATCTTTTGGCTTGTCTGGGCTGCATTGAGTGAAGAGTTAATATATATAAATAACAAACTTCCTTTATTTTTTATGATCTTGTGGTCTGCATTACTAGCTATCCAGGATTGCATATGGCTACATATGGTGGGTGAGACACATCTGACTTAAACCTTTTGAAAAACAGTATGGCTAGTATATTTTCTAGCCATGACAATCTAAGCCAGTGGTTCTCAACCTTTTTAATGCCGTGACCCCAACCGGTCGTAAGTCGAGGACTACCCAACTGGTCGTAAGTCGAGGACTATCTGACCGGTTGTAAGTCGAGGACTTTCCCTGCCCGGGAGCACCGCGCATGCGTGGTGCTGCCCCCTGCGTCGGCGGAGGCGTAGCTGGCAAGCGGCAGAGACGGCGCAGGCCGACCACTAGCTGGGCCACCAGCTGGGCCAGCCCAAGGGAGGTAAGGCACCCGCCAGGCCCCACGCGTGCCAGCAACCCTCCCTGCGCCCACCGGCCTCCCACCTCCCACCCCTGGCCCTCTTTTGCTTACATTTTTAGTAGTTGCTCAGCAGGGGTGGAAACTTCCAGACAGCTCGCCTTCGCTGCAGACAACTTGCAGCACCGTTTGCAGAATGGGACTTTTGGCGGGCTCAGCAGGGCAGAGACAGCCTGGACAATTCCTATTGGCTTTTGAAAGCCAATAGAATTAGGCTCTATTCAAGAGAGTCTATTCTATTGGCTTTCAAAAGCCAATAGAATAAAAGGGAGTAGCACAGCCAAGGAAAAGGGGGGGAAAATGATGGACTGCGTTGTTTGGTGACCCCCGTGAAATGGTCGTTCGACCCCAAATGGGGTCCCGACCCACAGGTTGAGAACCACTGATCTAAGCAAACCTTTCTCAATTTGGACTCATACTGATGTTTTGGGTACTAATGATTTGAATATCCAGCCAGCATGATCAGATTTGTAATGGTAAACATCTCCAAAGAGTCAGATTGATGAAGCCTGAACTGAACTAACAAGAAGATTACAGGTAGTCCTTGACTTACAACAGTTCATTTAGTGACTGTTTGAAGTTACAAAGGCACTGAAAAAAGTGACTTATGACCATTTTTCACACTTACAACTGTTGCAGCCCCCTGGTTACATGATTTACATTTGGATGTGTAACAATTGACTCACGTTTATGATGGTTGCAGTGTCCCAGAGTCATGTGATCCCCTTTGCGACCTGACAAGCAAAGTCAATGGGGAAACCAGATTCACTTAACAACTGTGTTACTAATTTAAGCACTGCAGTGATTCACTTAACAAATGTGAAAAGTCATAAAATGGGTCAAAACTCACTTAACAAATTTCTCACTTGACAACATAAATTTGGAGCTCAATTGTAGTTGTAAGTTGAGGACTACCTGTGTATAGTTAATAAATTCGGAAGTTTCTGAAAATTATTTTGAGTTATAGTGACAGTGAAATTTACAAAAACATGTGAGATAAAAATAGAGTTAGTACCTTTATAGCACAACTTTACACATACAGGTTCAGATGCATATAACTGCGGTCTCTCAGTGCTAATGAGAAATATCCTTTCTTATTTGTCACATACAGTATCTGGAGATACAATAAGAATGTATTTTGGGGATCTATTAATGACATAATATTTAACATCTCTCTAAAGATGTTGGAATTTTGAAATGAGGCAGCATATTTACATTCCAATTAGCTACAGATCACAAAAAGACAGTAAAAAACAAAAACAACATAGAATTAAAGAACAGGGGTTCCTGTGTTGTTGCAGAATCTGTAGGGTTGTAGAATCTGAACTATATTTTCAAGCACTTATCATCATTGGCATAGTAATTGGGCATAGTAATTCAGCAACATCTGAAGGCAGTCAGGATTTTTACATTTCAAGATAAGACCATTTTCCTCTTATCATAAGAAAATACAATTTAAGTACTCTAAATTATTTCATTGGTCACTTAACACAGGAGTAAAACAATACATCTTATAATTTTTGTCTACAGCTGTGAGAGCAAGTTCTCATGCACTAATAAGCAAACAGTTCAGTTCACTACCAAAACAAGAGAAATGTAGAAGCCTTTCCTAACCCTAACCCTAACCCTAGCCCTTCACCTGAAAGAGAGTAACTTCTATTTCATTGTATCACTATCATAGAAGAAAAAGAGCCAAGAATTTGAATCTTGATTTCAGTATAAATAAAGCTCACACATTTGATACATAGCAGTTGCTGGAATTCTTTCATAATTATTTTTATAATGTTAGAAGAAACCTAATTAATTTGAGTTTTGGTGTCTTTAGTTTAATTGTACAGTTTCTTGCCTAGCCATCAAGAAATTTAACAAATGATAAATTTTCTTTATCATACCAATTGCAGTGTTGATATTGTATCTTGATAGTGCTTTATCATGCAAAATGTGCCTTAGATAATTTCCAAGCTCTCACACAATCTCAAGTAAAATCAAACGAACTGTTTTAAAGTTCATGACCTCTATAATTGCCACTGTTTTAAAAATGAAAAAAAAGAAATGCTAGTTTTTATTATGTTATTTTATTAGTATTCAATGATTTGCCTTTAAAACATTGAGTGAACTATTCCTTTAATTGATTTTTAAAATGCTTATGTTTTTTAATTTGAATCTTTTAACCTAATATAATAATTGTACAAAATGCTGGTCTGTGATTATAAAAATAAAAATTACGGGCTAGTGTATGTTCCTTAAAAATCATTAAAGACTACATAGCTGCTCATTATGCTTTCGCATAATGCTTTTTAGTAATTTAGCAAAGATGTAGACTAGTTTACCAGATTATTTAAAATTTAACACCCAAGGGGAACAAACATAAAAACAAAATTTAAATGAGATTCTTTTAAGGAGTAACTGTTGAAAAACAGGAACTTATATTTTTCTAGCACCTTCAAAATAACATATCCCCTAATTGATTTTAATGGACATTGGGTGGCAATACAATACTGAACTGCTAAGCTGATAAACGTGTGTTATTATCTTAAATATATATCCCATATTTAGTGTTTTAAGCTTGAATCATGAGTGTAAGGTTGTAAAATGGGGCAAAACTCACTTAATGTCTCACTTAGCATCAGAAATTTTGGTCTCGATTGTGGTCGTACATTGAGGATTACCTAGTCCCAAATGCTGAAAGTACTGCCATAGAAGCTTGAAAACCAAAGATGAAGCATACAGAGATACCAAGACTGCAACTTTCTGAAAACAGGAGAGTTTAATGGTCAGGTGTAAGGAACCTAATATTTATGCATTCTATAGGCCAGTCCTTCAGAGTTGAAGGAACCAAATCAAATTTACAGTGAAAGAAGGAATCAACCATGAACGTAGTGTAGGGAACTTCCACTGGCGCCTAGAAAGGTTGGTTCTGTGGTCGAATTTTTGCAGAATTTCTTTAATTATTCATTTTTACATAATTCCTATAATTTGCTGTTAGTTTTTAATTTGAAAGTTAATTCATACTCAGCTGTGTTTTTTGTATTTAAGACCAATGTGAAATTTTTTCTTTGTAGGGTGGAATGGTTAATTGGAATCGTTTCTTTCCTCCTTTACGTCACCGACCTAATGCAAATTATTTGGATAATCACCCAACTGTGCATGAGGGACAGCCTCCAGCTCAAGTTTCTGAAGAACAGGTAACATCTGCTTTTTATGAGAAAAAAAACCACAGTATTTTAGACTCATGGTTCTGCTAAGCTTAAGCTCATTAACAGCTTTCCATGCTCACTGCTCAGTACTATAAGATATGAGTAACTGCATATGCCTTATTCGCATGACCTCTCTTCGCTAAATATAGGGAATGACTCATACACATTATACAGCATGAATTATTCCAATGTACTGTATGCCTAGTACTCAAAATATAAGAATACATCTAAACTGCCAGATAATGTATCATTGAATTGTGCATTATATTTTCAAGTACTGGAACAGTATCTTCTTTAAATGTTCCATCTACTTTGTACATTCAGAAATGGGAGTGTTCAGTTAGAGTAGGGGTGTCAAACTCGCAACGTCACGTGACGTGTCGCAACATATCGTGACTTTTTTGCCATTGTCGGCAATGGGGTGGGCGCGGTTTCGCTATGATGCATCCGGCCCATGAGCCAGCAGTTTGACACCCCTGAGTTAGAGGGTATTTTTCAAAGTTTACCTGCTTTCAAGACCTTGTGTTAAAAGGAAAATTAATTGTGCATTTAATAGACTGAGAATTGTGGAAAGTATCACATAAAAATATTTACCCTACTAGCAACATCAAAATATGTGAGGTATCTAAGGGCTTTATTTAAGCTTGTTTACATATTTTTAAATTATGATTATACACAGTCTACAAATGCATATGGGTAAGTTTTTCTTTAAATACATTATATTCTAGCAGACCCAGTACACAGAGGTATGGAGGGGAAGGAAAGAAAAGAAAATAAGCAAGCTACATTTCCATTCTTTCATAAAATTATACAATGAAGATTTGCATTTGAAACTTGGGAGAGGGTCCACTGTTCCTTGGAATTAGCTGGGACAGTGGAGGAAGCCTTATTGTTTAGATTCTCAGGGTTTATTCAGCTGGAAGCCTCTGGTAAAGCTGAACACAGAACCCTAGGACATGAACTTCCTAAAAACAAAGTAGCAATCTGGCAATTAGTTCTAGATTAACTGACTCGGGGGCTTCCCTGTCTCACTTGTCCCTCTGATTCATTATTGTAATTGGAGAAAATGAAACTTGAAGACAGTGACAAATACTGATCATTTTCTGTTCTTTAAAACTTTTTAAAGTTAAGATTCATACTGTCTTTTGGGAAATTTTGAATCATTTAAAAATACATTTTCCATTTGAGAATTATCCATTCTTCATCACAAAATGACAAAATAGAAAGAAAAAAGTTAACTGTTCAACAATAACAAAATAATAAATTATTTAATGGGAATTGGAACTATATATGTTAAAAAAGAGGTTTAGAAGGTTTAATAAAAAAAATCTCTTAAAATTGAAATAAATTCTTATTAAATATAAAAAGTGAAGGTTTTAGATTTTAATAATCACAGATGTGGCTGTTCTGGAATTATCAACTTACAGAATTTCCAAACAACCTTATTTTTAAAACAAATTGAATAACATCAGGAAATGAGTTACAAGCTTTTCATATTGGCATTCTGGGGGGGGAAAGCTTGTGATTTGTTTTTATAACTGTAGCAGCTCATAAACTTAATATTAAAATGGTTTTTTTCCCAAATCCCCACCATGGATTTGCCTGGTAAATCTGAGCCAAGTCAGGAATTCAGCAATAGATTTCAATATTCATGTTGTGATAGGTAGGTTGTTAAGATTTGGGGCAGTATGTCCAATAACACTGAACTATCTGAAAAAAAAATAAAAAGGAGTTCTGTTTTGCTTCATTACATCATCTCATAAACTTGGGGGAAAGAATAGTAGGAAAGGCAGAACACAGCTAGGATGGCTCCAGCTTTTGCTCTTTCCCTTCTTATTGATTTGGGCTGATTTTCTCTCTTTCTTTCAAGAGGTCAGAATGGAGTAAGATAAACTGAGCTGAAAGGGAATGAGTACAGTAGCCTAGTCTCAGTGTGTCCATGGTTAAGGTGGACTTGGATTTGGATCTTCTCACTCCTAAGGAAACACCTTAATGCTACTATACCATATGGGTTCTTTTGTTTCTCCAATGCAGAATAGGCTGATTGGTGGGCTGCTCATAGTGCCCTTGCCCAGCCAGCCCAGATGTTACTATGTTGAATAGCATGGATGGCTGCCCCATGCAATTAATTTTGTGGGCCTGTCTGTCTTTTTTTCCCCCTTTTATTTTTCATTTCCTCTCCTTCTGAATATACTGGCAATTATAGAGAAACATTCAGTAGTCCTTGTTTTCTGATTCCTTTTATAATATCCAAAATAAAGTACCCAGGCTTCTTAAGCAAACTGAAAAAAAAAATGCAGTTACCTAAAACAAACACTTGCTCTGTTTATGACTCTGATATCGTATGATAGTTGTCATGTGCTGAGCTTGGAAATTTTAAAGGGATTTCCCCAGGTTTCAGGATTTTTTAACAGTTGTGTTCTCAAAGCAAATTCAGATATTGTTTGCTGTCATAAATATTATAGCCAGAGAAATATTTATTAATATATCCATATGAAAACCTGATTGTTGCTCCTTGCCATATATCTTGGTACGTTCTTGAAAACTGTGGCTTGAATTTTTACATTATGCTGATAGACAGTCTAAGTAGCACTGCAGTGTTCCTCTTTCCTGTACTGGTGACATTGAGACATCTCAGACTACTGTGTCTCCCCTTACAACACCAATGTCTAGAAATAGAGTCATTATATGAGTTGCATGTGGGTCCCTCCCGTAAGAAATAAATATTTTCTATTGCACTAATCAAGAAAGAGTATTACTAGTCCTATGATAGGTAGATAACGCAACTATTAAGTCTAGTTTCTTAATATGAGAAGCAGTGCTGATGGTATTGTCAGCAGAGCAGTTTATCCACCTAAAATGGAGGTGGAGTCTCATGAGTCCCATGCTGCTTGATAAACTAAACAGTTGCATTAACTTTAATATATTTCATTACAAGAAAAAAAATCAATGTTACCAGCTAGGTTATAGCTATATCGACCTGTTCGCAATCAGTTCTTCAAAGCATGCTACTGTGTTGACTGTTTTCATAATTCCCCCCCCCCTCTCTCTTATTTCTCCATAGGTTGCCCGGCTCATGGAAATGGGATTTTCTCGAGTAGATGCTTTGGAAGCTTTGAGAGCTTCTAATAATGATCTTAATGTAGCCACCAACTTTTTGCTGCAGCACTGATGAATTGAATACCTGCAGGGAAGAACTTAAATTGACGTGTGTCGTGTGCTTTTCAGAGGGCTGTAAACAACTACAGGGTGGACATTGAATGTTTAAATCAAGAAAAAGAAGCTGCCTCTTCACATGCAATATATTACTGCAGAAAAGATGGCTGGCACTGGAAATATCTTTCCCTTGAATGGAGTATACTAGCCAGGTTGCACTGGAAAAGTGTTTGCAATCATAAACATATGTTATATATCAATATTTATTTTGCAAAATCGGGTTTATGTGTTGCCCCTACCCCCAAAATCAGCATGAAATGTTTCATCATTTCTGATAACAAAGAAATAAGAATTTTTCTTCTTAAAATAACTCAGTTTTCATATATATATATATATATATATATATATATATATATATATATATATATATATATATAATTTATATATGGCCAACAAAGCAGCATTTCATTTTCTTATTTTTTTAAAAAATACTACATTTCATTCATCTGCTTTATCAAAGCTTCAAGAAATGTGCAAAATTCCTTGGCTGTGTAATTTCAATAAAGGGAGAAAGGACTGAAATCTTGTATTCAGGAGATTCTATTCATATTTTTTTTAAGGATTGGAGAGAGCACACAAAGCATGGCTTCTGGAATTTTTTTCAACCCCTTTACAAGCAGTGTTTATGTATGGCCTATGGAGCATGAGGCAGGCTACATCTGATCTACATTAGTTCATGTGACCGGGAGAGAAAAGGGAATAAAAAAGTTTAGCAAAGAGCAAATAGTAACTTTCTAGGCTGTTGTCCAACTTCCTCTCTTGTAAGTATGCATTTGGACAATCTCCCTAGCCATCTCCAATGTTTGAACTCGGTCTAACTTTGATCAGTATCCCTGCCTTGGACAAGGTCCCTTCCAGCACTATGATTTCTGAAGGCAAAATTGGTCTCGTTCCACTCAGTTTTGGAGAGCTTTCTCACTGACAATAGGCAGATAAGTAGACTCCTGAGCTCCTTTATGTACTTTCTTTCCAAAATAGGACAGAATAAAAAAATGAATGGAGGATGAAAATAGATAAATAAAAAGGGAAAGGCAGGAAAAGTGCACTTATAAAAGAAAGGACAAGAAAGGGATTGTGATAGGATAGAAAGATCTAAACCCCATTCATATAAAGAAAGACTAAAGACTTCAGGAATGTTTTGCTGAGGGGAGATGTGATAGCGCTATGAAATGGTGCCGCTGCATTCCAGACCATTTGCAGTTTCTAAGTAGTCTTTATGGGGAATTGTTTCAGAAGATTAACTGGATGGTAACGAGGGCATGAGTTGTTGTAACTTGGTCCTCCTGCATTGCAAGGTAGCAATTGGCACATCAGCTAGCAGAGAGCCCTCTCACCAGGACTTCCACCTATTCAATCAGGAGCCATGAGTCCAGAAGAACTCATAAATTGTGAACTTGTCTTTCATGGGTAATGGTTGCTCATCCAGAGGTAACATTGATGTCCACAGATCAGTCACTGAAGGTGTTGATAGATCTCCCCAACAGTGATGATACTGCTGCACTTGAAGCTTTTGGATGACTTCTCCCAGTAGTTTCATAAAACTTTAGAGAGTATGAGAGAGGACCAACCCCTGTAGAATCTGACATTACGATACCCCCCTTTTCCCCAGCATAGACTAAAACCACCCAGTGAAGAAGGAGCAGTTTATATTGTAAAACAGTATTGGAAATTCTTTATTCCATTTATTTTCTTTTCAGGGTAGGTTCTTAATCAGTTTCCCTGAATAGAAATATCTATTTCTTGTTAGTAAACTCAGATGTACATGCCACAGTTAAAACCAGAATATATATATAAAAAGTCTTTCTATAGAATGAGAACTGAAAAACAACCCATAGAATCGCTTCATACCGTTTTTCAGATAATTTTTCTTTTGTGTTTTTTTAGATGCTTTGGTTGATACAACCTTTACGTTGTTCAGATTTTGTCGCGATAACCTTTCAGATTCAAAGCCTATTACGTAGTCTCTTCTAAAGATAAGACATGCAATTTTAAAATCATACTTTAAGCATGCTTTTGCAAAGTTAGATTTATAGCAAAAGTAATATAGCTGAGAAAATGAGAACAAAAGAGTGAATTTTACAAAGTCCCCATCAAGAAGGTTACAGGAAAACGTGTCTTTTTAAAATTTAAGAATCAGCTGTGAATAATCTTTGAATAATCATCTGTGAATAATCTTTAAGAACTTGTGAACCCACCAGTTACATTCTTTGAGGGTATGGCTTTAAATACTCTTTGATCTTCTGTTGACTCTTCTGTTGATTTCCCTAGAGAAGTTTCAGGGAATTTTCACTCTAGGTTAGGAAAAAGGCTCATAAAACTGTTGGCATTTTTTGTCCTTTCTTATCTTTGTTCATTCTTTCTATTTTTATAGACGTTATGCACTGCCAGATTTTGTTTGGATTTTTTATTGGTGCCTCTGCTATTTATCCTTTGGGACAATCCTCCCATCTTCCCCCATTTCCTAGTTAGGGCACTTGTAACAGTTCTCTGCTTGAGAATAATCATAGTTTGCATTTTCACTGTTTGAGACACAATTATTTGGCAGATTGTTTCAATTGATTGTTAATTATTACTGATATCACTGCATTTAGATTTTTTTCTGATTTCTGCAAAAAAAAAAATTCTTTCCTTGACTGTCTTACGCCCAGTTAAGGTCTCACCACAAGCTATTTGCAGCATTCACACAAATTCTCCCCCCAAGCCATTTGCAGACTGCTGTTGGATGCATAGGATATTTGTTCTACAGTAGTTACAATTTTAGATGTTCTTGGAATTACTTTGGTGGGATTTCTGTTGACCACAGAAGCTTCCGATCTCTTTGATTCTGTTAGATGTGCTGATTGGCACTAAAAAAAAGCCTGTGAAGTATCTAAAAACATCTAAATCAGACCAAACTAAAAAAATGTTAATTGTAGTCAGAACACTATTTTTCATTATTTTTTTCATTGCAACAGGTATACGTCTAAAGAACAAAAAGAAAGTAGTAAAAAGAAACATGGAAAACTAATCATTTATAAAATGGTTACTCACTGAAATATAATTTCAGTAATAGTAATAAATAAGTGACTTAAATATCATCTCTGCAATTTGCAAAAATAATATCCTTAAGCTTCTTTCATGTGTACTTAATATATAGTATAATATATCCTACATAACTGAACAGAGATGAAATTAAGCTTGCTTGATTGTCTTAGACAAATTTCACAGGGTTGAATCCTGACAGTTAGTAAATTAGATCACTGTCCTGCCAATTATGGTTCTCCACATTCAGTGGAAGCCACAGCTATTGGCATTGTGAATACTTGTATTATGCATTTGCTACACACACTATGTAAATTATATCCACGTGTATTTGTTGTCATATCTCTGCCTTTTTATCATGCTTTTGATACAGTGAAACACTAAAGAAGATCTCACTTCAGCAGAGCTTGTATTCAGTTTATATAAAAACTTGTATAGTTACAAAAGCAATTTGTAGAGTTTTCAGGGATAAGATAAGGAAGTCATTCATGGAGGAAGTACAGTTAAAAAAAAATTAAGTTGGGTGAAATGAAAACAAAATCTCTGTTGAGATGTTTTCCCCACTTTTATTTTGTTCATTTCAAGGCAGAGTATGTAATGTTTTTCCCCACCACAACTACCCTATGAGGTAGGCTGGGCTGAGACAAAGTAGCTGGCCCAAAGTCCCAAACTGGATTTTATGCCTGAAGGAGGGAAAGAGGTCCTGGCCTCCAGATTTAAGCACTATACCCAATTGGCTCTCATATATGAGGGTTATCTGCATTAATATGGACAGGCCCCATTCTCTTAATTTCTCCCTCCCAAAGTATTTTTACTTCAAGATTCCTCCAAGTCAACTGCGATGTTTGAAGTAACATTTTGGTTACATAAGCATCAGCATTCCAGTCACAGATTGAAGTGGAAAGAAAAATAATATGGTAGTCCTCAACTTACGACCACAACTGAGCCCAACATTTATGTTGCTAAGTGAGAAATTTGTAAAGTGAATTTTGCCCCATTTTATGACTTTTCTTGCCACGTGCGTTAAGTGAATCACTGCAGTTGTTAAATTAATAATAAAGTTGTTAAGTGAATCTGGTTTCCCCATTGACTTTGTTGGTTGGAAGGTCACAAAGGGGGATCACATGACCACAGGTCACTGCAACCATCATAAATGTGAGTCAGTTGTGTGAAAAATGGTCATAAGTCACTTTTTTCAGCACCATTGTAATTTCAAACAGTTACTAGGGCAGGGGTAGGCAACCTTGGCTCTTTTGTGACTCGTGGACTTCAACTCCCAGAATTCCTGAGCCAGCCATGCTGAGGGGAAAGGGAAAGATTCCAAGCTGAGCCATGCTGGCTCAGGAATTCTGGGAGTTGAAGTCCACAAGTCACAAAAGAGCCAAGGTTGTCTACCCCTGCACTAGACAAATGTTTTTAAGTCAAGGACTATCTGTATTGGCTTGTATGACAAATGTTCTAAATATAGAGAAACAAAGCTCGATAAAGATGTTATTTTAATCTTGAACCAAACTAAAAAATCTCAGACTGTGCTGGAGGTTTTTCTTTCTCAAAGTTAAAGATGCTTGTATTCAGGTACCACAGCTGATATTGCATGCTCCAAAAACAAAGAAAATTATTTAAAAAAAAGGAGTAGGACTAATTGTATCCTTTTCTGTTGCTTAGACCTGTCAGGAATGTTTCTCCTACCTTAAACTAAAAAATAGATTATGATATTGGAACTAGCAAAATCCTACTGATAAATTGCTCTCTGTAACAGAAAGTCTCTCTGTGTGTGCACAAAAAGCTAAACTGCTCCCCCTGCAGGCCATCCTTGTCCAGATCGCGTTACATTGGTAGTTATTTATATTGCATTTTGCTTTGCCCTCATACAACAGAACTAAATACCCTGGAACCTAATTGGGAGGAAGCTGAACTCCAAAACCCTTCCAACTCGCTCCTCTTTGCCTGCTCCAATGCTTTCTTCTGCAGAGCCCCATTCAGGAGTGCTGCTTCTTTGCCGATCAAAGCAGGAACAACTGGTAGAACTTCAACTTCAGGGCAAGCATCTTCAAAGCTGGTGAATTCAGGCCTCCTCAGAATATCCTTGTATGTGTCTGAACAGAATGGAATTCTATATTTGGAGATTGCAAGGTTTCCTTTGATTGCCAGTATCAGTGAAATTGTCAGTGAAAGATGGGATTCATGCTACGTGAGGAAATTCCCAATAACATGTGAATGAATCATGAGCCAGAAGAAATAACAGGCTCCACAGGGATCTCCTGGAGAGCCAGTCCTAATTAGAGTCAAAGCTTGTAGCTTGAATTTGACTATGAAGTTATGAGAGTTCTCTAGGTTTGGCTACTGTGCTGTGGAAAAGGAAAAGGCATCAACTCTATCTAGATGCTCACGCTTATCTCAACTATAATTGTTCTAATTTACTGTTATTTAGTTAGGTTTATATACCACCCATCTTTGCAGCTTAGCAGCCAGGTGGGAGGGGAGGTCAGAACCAGGCTGTGGGAGCTCAACTTGCCTGAGTGGCGGGCAGGTGCATCTGCATGCATGCACACCTCGAATTACACACGTTGAGCTGCGTGCTAGCTTGCCATTCGCGAAGTCGAGCTGCGCATGCACTGGCCCACCAACCCACCGCTCATAGGGGCCAGTTCCAATAGGCCATAGCCCAGTAGTGGGCCACCGCCCAGGGATTAGGGACCCTTGTTTTAGAAGACTGAGTGAATCCCCACTGTTTCTATTAACTGAAAGCAACACAAGGTTACATTATATAAACTACCCCTAGTATTTTCCAAAAGTATTACAGTCAAACTATTTTATGAGATTTAGTACTAGAAAATAGATAATATAAGCAATTTGTCATTATTGGTATAAATATTATAAACATAATCATTGAATTATACTCCTAAAGTAATATAAGCAATTTATGTGTTTGCAGAATTACAGCCCAAACGGTAATCCCTCATTCCCTTGATCCCTCCCGTAATTGACAGCAGTCGTTTATCTGCCTGCTGGAAAGGGAAGGGGAGGAGAGGGGGATTGGAGAGGGATTCACTCATCTGACCAAAGCAGTAAATAAAATAGCAGTAATCCCAACATATTCCAAACTCAAGGGTGACTCAGATGATACTTCTCACATCTCAACCAGTGTCTCTGCCTTGTGCCCAAAATCCTTCCAAACCACTTAAGACCAAATTTAATTTATGAACAAACAGGCAGTATATGTTTGATTTACTTCGGATTCTTCCAGGATAATATGAGAAAAATTTAGACACAAAAGAGAACAGCGGCAAATTCTATAAGCAAGTGTTTCCACATCTTCAATGAAGTCTGCACAAGCCCAAGCTACTTATAGGACCATCTGGCCCCAGACATCCCAACCCAGAGTCTTAAGTCACCAATAGATTGCCTCTGATAGAAACCACCATGGAACTATTGACCATTATGATAAATTCAGTATTTTTCATGATGGGGCCATAAAACTCACCAGACATGAAAAAAACAACCCTTATATAAATTTTGGACATATAATTTATTATACCCAGAAGAAATAGTTCAGGCTTGAATTCAATTTGCACCTTAGTTATCTCCTGTATCCAGTTCCCTATCCGTTCCCAAAAGCTCTTTGCTTTAGGGCACAGCCACCACATGTGATAAAATGTTCCTTCCTTATTTTTACATTTCCAGCATTCCAGATTCATATTTTTATATATTTTGGCTAATCTCGCCGGTGTTAAATGCCATCTATAAAACATTTTGTATTGATTTTCCCTATATGCAGTTAACAGTGTCAGTTTGCAATTTATGTTCCATAGTCTTTCCCATTTTTCCAGATTTATATTTCGGCCCACATTTCTCGCCCATGCTATCATTGACCCTTTCATTATTTCTTCCTCCAGATCTATCTCTAATAAATATTTATAGGTTTTTGTTATAAATTTTCCTTCCTTAACTGTTAAAATTTTATCCAATTGATGTATGCACTGGCTTATTCCATGCTCTTTCATATCCTTACTATGTTTAGATTGGATCTGTAAATATGGCCACCAATCTATGATTATTCCTTGTTCTTCTAATTTTTCTCTTGATTTAAAGTTCCCTTGGCTGTCTAATAGTTCTTTGTATCTACCGTATTTTCTGGTGTATAAGACGACTTTCTAAACGCTGAAAATCTTCTCAAAAGTTGGGGGTCGTCTTATACGCCGGGTAGCTTTCTCTGAATTTAAAACCAGTCTGCCCCCTAGTGGCCAGCCCTATTTTTTTTTTTACAGAAATAAGCACTAACACGTGTTTCTCAACCTTGACAATTTTAAGGCATGTGGACTTCAACTCCCAGAATTCCACAACCAGCAGGACAAAGCATTCAAAAATCCCATTTAAATTTTTAAATTTTTCTTTACAAATGTAAACCCAGCAAACACACTGTTTACCAACTATTAAGTGATTTATGTTTTAAAAAATCAATAAAATATATGGGGAAAAAAATACCAGCTGAGTTCAGGAAGCATTAGGGAAGCAGTGGTGGACAATACTCGCTTTCTAGCAGCAAAGGAATGGAGCTCCTATTGTGCTCATCTATAAACAGAAATTCAATATTGTACCGTATTTTCCGGCGTATACGATGACTTTCTAAACCCTGAAAATCTTCTCAAAAGTTGGGGGTGGTCTTATATGCCCAGTCGTCTTATACACCGGAATATACGGTAATCATCTTTTTCTTACCTAAGGTGTTAGGGTGAATCATCGCCTCCATCGGTGAAATCCAATTTGGAATTTTCCTATAGTGTCTTTTTTTTACTTTTTCCCATGTCCGAATCAGCGCATCTCTTATCTGATGTTGATAAAAGTATGTGTGTGTTTTCCTATGTTTCCCCCATAGAAAGGCATGCCAGCCAGCCAGTCATGCCCTTCAATCGTTAAAACTCTTTTATTGTCTAGGTTTATCCAATCTTTGATCCAGAGTAGTCCAGCTGCTT